GCCGCTCCTCGCCGCTCGGTTCCGAGCCTCCTCGCGGGGCTGCCGGCGCGGGCAGTGCCGCACCCCGGCCGGCGCTGCGCGGGCTCCCGCGGTCGCTGCCCTGCCCGCATCTACCGCGCTCTTAAGTCGCCCGCCTCTGCTCTGGGGCCAGGAGGAGAGGGGTGTTTTTCTCCGAAAGCCTGTCCCGATGGCTGTAGGTGTCTTTCCCTCACACGTCGTGTGAATGCTGCGTGAAGAGAGGCGGTTGGTTTCCTAATTTCCTTCCTCCTCTCACCACTCCTCTCCTCCTGATAACTTCATCTGTTTGCATCTTGGGCCGTTCCTTTCTTTCATTTGTGAGTTAGCAATTGCAGGAAAATGAGCTGTATAGGCCTCTGCACTGAGGCTGTTTATCAAGAATCAGGTAGGGGGTGAAATCGAGGAAGACTTTGTATCCCTAATTTCCCTTCTCTTCAGGATTAGGGTAAAAATAAGTGTAGAATCCTCTTATATGGTTTGTGTCTACTGTTTTAAAATAAGTCCCCCTTTCAAGATGTGATGACCTAACCTCTGAGCATTACGCACCGAGATCTTAAAAAAAAAAGATTTGTTATTTTTAAATTTAGGTCCAAATTTAGGTTCTTTTCCTATTATTGTGCTTTTGTAAGGCTTTGATTACAGTAGTCTGAAGCCTGAATACACTCAAAAGAGCTATTAACACTGTGGTAACATTTTTTTAGTGCAGCGTTCTTCCACAGGTAAAGGTCCTACTGCGTTGAACTTAATCTCTTTTGATGTTAATAGTATTGTGCACACATATGTATGCCTAGAAGGATTGCTGATTGACATAAAGGGAGTTGTTGTGAGGGTTTGTCAGCTTAATGATTATGATTTTCACCTCATTGCCAAAGAACAAGTAATAGCCAGCTAAAGTAAACTTAGGTTAAGGTGCTTTGATACCAGTAATAACTAGCGAGCAGTTGAATTGCTGTGTTTTTTACTTCTTGTAAAGCTCTCCAAGACCCGTTTTAATTAAAATTATATATTCTATATTTTTTTTAAAGCACATGTATTGGTTTTCTTAGCTTTATGGCCTCCTTTTCTGTCTGCTGTCATGGGTGGCTCCAATGTGTTAGTGGAATGCAACGATCACAGTTCTGCAGAACTTAGCCTTCAGTAAATTCTCATAAACTTGTGTGTCCAGTCTTGCAGAGGTTGAAATGAGAAAATGCTTCGTTGAGAGACTGTATAAAAGAAAAGCTGTGTCCTTTAGCATCACATTTTGTACAGCAGAAAAACTTGAGTCCCTAAGCTGCAGAGCCAACCAGTTGCAGAACAGAAGCAGTTTCGTGGCACACTGGGTTACACAGCAATGGCCCTGGAAGGGTGTTCAGCAGAAGCACTCTGCTTCAGCTGCTGCTCTTCTCCCTTACAAGTTTCCATTTCTGCTGGCCATGCTGCTTTCTGTCTGCTGTTGACTTCTTGGTGGGAAGTTGAGCTGCTTTCTCTTGCCTGAGTTGCAACATTTTGCTGAGTTTCATTACCTTTGGGCTTAGAAAATGACCTTCCCTTCAGTGTTTTCCAAGGTTATGAATCTCAGAAATTTATATCAACAGTTTGTACCTGTGGCAGATGAGCTTGCATTGTAAAAATATAATTTAAATGGCCTAGACAAGACTTTCAAAAATATGCATGTTCTCTCTGCACATTTGTTGATAGTGGAGAAGAGGGAGAGTTCAAACTTCTTAATATCCAAGTCTGTGTGGAATAAGCTTCCAGGCTTCATTCATCTAGAAACAGACCTTTTGTTCCACTTCTATTTGGATAATTTTCCAGCAACTGCAGTCAATTTATAATTTGTTTTCAGATTCAAGGAGCAACAAAGGTAACATTCTGAAGCTAGTTTAGCTTCCTGATGTCTTAATGGGGTTTCAGTGACAACACTGAAAAGCTCTCTTTAGAGAAGGTAACCTGAAGAATAGTTGTACCACTTCTAGTAGCCAAAATGATCTGAATCATTTTGTGAGTGTGGATATAGGCAGAATATTCATTTTTCATGGGACTAGCTCCCAAGTCATGCTTTAAAGATGAAGAATATGGGTCATAGATGGAGAATAGAAGAGTAGTCTGGGAAATACAGACAGGTAAAGAAGGTATTGTGGGTTGTGATAAATAATTTGGATATATGTTCTGTTTAAGTCGATTTTCAAATAATTCTACTAGGTTTATAAGCAACATTTAAAACATATGACAAGGTAAAAAACAAATTCAGTGGATGTGGGGTTCCTTTTTGAATTGGCATTTTCTTTTGGCATTAATCTGGGAAGCATGTTTTAGTACAGAATATTGATCTGTTTTGGGATTAAAAAGGGAGGGAACAAAATAAAATGATGGTAGGTGTACCTGTTACATGGATGAGAGCTATGAAAGTATTTGTTGGCAGAAAAATGATCTAAATGGTTTACATTTTTAATAGTTGTGTCTGTAATGTGTAGCTTGACTCTTTTGAAAGAGGAAGCTTTCTACATTTTAGCTTACTCTGTGTAAATTTCAGTAGGTTAAAAGTGATTTTTCTAAAAATTGTGGTATATAGCAAACATTTTTGCTGCTACATATTTCTAAAGCAAGGTTGAATGCTTTCCTGAGGAAGATGTAGTAAGTCAAACAGGTTTCATTCTGGAATTGGTCTTAAGTAGGGAGGAGTGAGAAGAGGGAAGGTGGGCTGTCTTCCTCATTGCAAGCGAAATTAAATCAAGGAAAAGCAGTGCTGGAAAACTTCATTGTGTACTCACACAATGGGTGGACACAAGAAAGAGGATGGGAGCAAGAAAAGGGGATGTGGAAGCATCTGGTTGTTGTAGTCTGAGCTATATAAGAGGTCAAACTGCATTGTAAGGGGTTATTTCTGGCCTTCTATTTTGGAAGCAAAGACTACTTTAAACTTTAAGGGTGTCAGACTTGAAAATAAGTTGCCACACTTCTATTTTTTTAAGAGATGAAAATCAAAGTGCAAGTTTAATGACTGGGTGTGGTGTTTCTTTCTCTTCCTATTTGTCAGGGTGTTCACATTTTTAATCATTTAAGCACTGTTTATCATTTTAGCACTGTTCAATTTCACTTCTCTGGTTTTCTAATTTATTTGGTGGGTTGATTTTTTGGTGTAATGTGATGCTGAATGATTCCCTTACAGGCAAGGAAGATATTGTGCTGTTATCCAGTTGTCATAGTTGATTTCACTCTACAAATCTTCAAGATTCCTACTGGAGTGAAAGGTAATTTGTGGTTTATTTTTTTAGATCAGAAGATTTATTGTATGAATTTAGTAAATAGGCAAAATTTCGTGTTCTGTTTCAAATTTTCATTTATTTTGGCTGTTGATGTGATGAATCTACATAGCTTAAGTTGTCAGTTTTGTAATGTTATATAAAAAGGAATGTCTTGATGATACAGTAAATATTTGACTTGTACTTATGAGTTTTGTGGTTATGCTCTTTTGTGAAGGTAATTTTACTGGTAACTTATTTCTTCCATAGACTTCCAAGACCTTGTCTTTGAGAACTTTGTAAAGATTTACAGACTAAGTGAAGGCCATATTGACAGAATATTGATTAATTACTATTGGGTGATCCAAAAATAGCTGTTCTGTTTGTCTAGTGAAATGAGTAAAGTATGTTCCATGTATAGTATGAAATTATAGACTTATGTGTACTGCAGGTGGGACAGCTTAGCAAGAATGCAGGTTTATTTATTTTAACAGACTTGGGGGGGAAGAAAGGTTTTTTTTTCCACTTGCAGTAGCACCTGATGTCTTAGGGGCACTACACAAACACTGCATTACAACAACTCTGTGGTGCTGTAGAGGAGAAAGTCAGATGCCAACCCTTTGCTGTGCACATCACAGCTGCCTTTGATAGCTTAATGTTTAATGACTGCACTAAAGGATGGGATGCTTTCAAAGCCTGACTTCAGTGAAGATGGCCTCTTATGTAAAAACTGATTGTCTCTGCAGATTCTCAGAAGCAGGTAGTAGTATTTTGCTGATGTGTTTCTTTGATTGGATGTTTTTTTCTAAAGGAGATAAGGTACTACTACTGTTTATCTCTGTAGTGCTTTTATTAATAGTAGCACGGCTCTTCAGAGAATTCTTGTGAAGAATTGCAGGAAAAGCCTCTCTTAAAACTGGTGACTTTTATCAGCGTCTGGAGGGTTAACTGGGTGTTTTACTTGATATTGTACCTACTATGGGTCTCATATTTGTCAGTATCTTGGTTTTTCCTTGTGTTCTTTCTGAGGGTTGTGATAAAGCCTGTCTTTTAGCTTACCTTGCTATTACTGAGTCATGCAGCCTGTGTGGTCTGTAAGGTCATTGTTAGAAGATCTTGCCATTGAGTAGTAAAATGGGGTTAGCTAAGGACAGTTTAAAAGAGAACTGTGGATTGCCATGGTCCTCTAGGCTTGCATCTTCCTTTTTACTTCTAACATTGTCTATGTGATTTTCTATTTTCAAGGCAGTAGTTCTGGAAAACTATTTTGTAGGAAAAGATGTTCAGTAACCAGAAAATAAAAATAGACTAAAAAAAATTTAAAAAAAGATAAAAAAAAGCATGGACTCTGAAAGGTCAGTGTCATCTTCAATTGCTTGTGCTGATGACAAAGCAGAGTTTAACCAAATATTTATTGTTGAAGTTACTCTCTAATTAGTAGTGCTGTACAGCTAAATGTAACACTGGATTTTACTGTAATTTGCTGCTATCCCATTTCTGTGGGTAGAGAAGTATAGACTATAACTGTGGTATTCTTTACAGTGGCCTGGATAAGAATTTGACTACAATGTTTTAAGAACATAGAATGTTATTAAGAGCATGAAAAGCTTCAGTATGTATTTAAAATGCTTGATGTGCTCTCTTACCATGATGAAAAAGTAAAACAGCTTTTTCTAATTTAAAATACTCAGTTATGCTGTATATGGGATTTAAAAAATGTATTCTTAATTCAAGTTTTTGAATTCATACTAGGCAGACCTTTGAATTCTAACTGATTCAGCATGTATCCTCCTACTTCTGAAAATCAAACCAGAATTAAAATCTGGTGATAAAAATATGCTTGCAAATGTTTCACATTTGTTGAAACACTTTTATTGCTTCCAGTTACTCAGAAAAGCAGGGATTCATCAATTAAAATTTGCCATAATATATTAAGTATGTCCTGCAGACTTCTTTGAACACTTCAGTTTTGGATCTGAAAGTTTCAATTTCCAAATACAGTGTTTTGTTCTCTGTAGACATTATTTGTAAACAATCTATTTGCTGTTTCCTTAGCTGAAAGAAGCTGTTTTATCCCATTTGACTTCTCGTTTTGAAGTTGTACTTAAAAGCTGTGTTTAAATAATACTGTAACTGCTGCTGTTTCATCATCAAGGAATTAAAGAAATATGTCCTGTATATCATTAGTCTGCTCTTAGCAGACTGAATCCTTTTTCTTGTATGGCTTTTTGGGTACTTTTCCTGGTAGAGTTTTTCATTATTTGACCACAAGTCTGAAATAAACCCAGTGTCTGGGAGGGAAGGAGGTGGAGAGAGGGAGGGCAGGCAGAGTGGGGAACCCACAACCAGAACCAAAGAATGCTGTAGCATTAAATTAATTCTTGAGTCCATGGCTGCCTTGTCTCCTGTATAAGACATTTGTCAAAGATCCTGGTGTATTATGGTTAGAGGCAGCTGTGTGTATCAAGGCTGGGATTGCTACATATCAATGTTACTGCTCCTTCTTTACAAGCCCCAGTTGTAAGTGATTTTAGTATTAAACCTGTTTTGGTCCTCAAGTTATCTCATTAGTTAACTTAAGCTGTTGGGTGTTTGGCCTCACTCTCCCAGTGTGCTTTCTTGACTGTGTGTGTGCTTGAGGATATATTACAGAGAGCAATTAATGTGTAATGAAATTTGTGCACTTAGAGATCTATTTTTTGTTTCCCACCCTTCCCTGCCACCTTGCAGTATAATGACTTAGTGTTGAGACTGAATAGTTGAAGGTTTTTAGGGGAAAAGTTTACACTATTACCAGCACGTTTTTCTTGTACTGTAGAAGAAATTAAACTATGTAAAAGTGAAGTTAAGGAATACTACCAACCTGTGTTGTAGGTGAGAAAATTCTTTGAGGAAAGGTTCCTTCTCCATAGAAACACTCTGTAAAATGAGTGTTGCTCTGTTTCAAGAGAGTTCTGTTTAAAAACTTAATCCAAATCGAAGAAGAAATTGTGCTACAGAACACGGTTACAAATGACAGTGCTCTAACTTGGAGAGAGTGGCAGGGTGATGTGGTCAAACTAGTTTTAAGAAACTACACATATTGCTGCCCCCTTCATATTCCCTCATGTGTCTACTAGTTTTAGCAAATTTAGTAAAAGGTTCATGGCCCTACATTCTACTTTTGTCCTTAGACCATTACAAGATCAGGAATCAAAACAGTATTTGCAGTCTTAACTAGAGACCAGGTATTACATGTGAGGCAGCTACCACTGAAGGAAGAACTTTTACAATTTTAGCCCTGATATGAAAGGTTGACTCTAGAAAATGCTTTAATTGTCTCTCATGTATTCTGGACTTCTGTTCCTTTTGTTTCAAAAAGCGTAATGAAACTCTATAAAAACACCCACACATTAGCTGAAGTATATTTTGCCTGAGCTGATTTGTTTGAAAAGCTAAGAAATCCAGCTCTTTGTCTTGAGGCATCATGAGATTTGATGTACTGGGCTAAGAATTGAGGCTTTGATTTACTGCTTGCAATTGGATTTTTAAAAGCTAGTGTGAGAAAGGCAAAATATGCTCCCAGTATATTGGGAACAAGTTTGCTTCAATCATTTTTTTACCTTCATTAAAGAATGCAGCTTCTTTGTGTTTTTCAGACCTTCTGTGCAGTTTCCCTGATTTTTAATTTTTTAAAAAAAATAATTAAGTTGTATTCCAAGGCAACACATAGTATGAAACTGGTTGACTTAGCATAAAATTTCCCAGTGGTGGTACATTATGTATTGGGTAAAGGGCAAGACATGTGCTGTACATAGCATGTTAGCACTTTGGAATGGGACCAGATGAAAACAGTTTTTATTGGGTGAACTGTTTTGCCCTTGTCATGAGCCTTAATTTTCTGCTTTGAAACATCTTGTCTCTATAACTGTTGAATGATGTGGGCAGATTAATTTACCTGGTGGATTTCCTTGAAATAAAAGAGAGGTGGAAAGGCTAGTATGTTGCTGTCCACATGTTAAGCCTATTGGAGTCAAAATCAACCTGTTTTGTTCTTTTACTGCTGTATGATTTTTGCTTGCTCATAAAGGATACTTATGAAAAATGAATCTGTGGATCCTTCCTGTTCAAAAGCTCATGAGTGTGTTCTTGTTTTACTCATATTTAAAACATATGTTTTACTAATATTTCAAGTGTTTTCATAAAACATAAGACGGTTTTTCTTTAATGGCTCTGGTTAAATGTTTTAAGACTTGAAGTAGTTATGCTGCAGAGATTTTTCTGCAAATGTTTTTAAAATTCTGAGTGGCTTTTCATGTTGCATTATTCCCAAGGTTAACAACAGTACATGACTCTTGCTAGGAGGCTCAGTATGTAAGCAGTTAAACTAACAGTTTAAGACACAACAAGTGATTTTATATTCTGTGACTATTTTTAGATCCTTGGTTATACCAAGAAGGTGAAAGCATAAGCACTTATTCTGGTAAAAATGTGTTTTTTCTCTGCTGGTTCATTTTGGGTGTTTGATGATGTTTTGGGTCTTTTGTTTGTTTGTTGCTTTTATTTTTTTTTTACCTGCCTCCATGCTGTCAAATGCTTGGTTTCAGGGAACTTGGGCAGTGTGTTTGTATTTGTGCCCTGGTAAATTGATCATTAAGGAAGCAACTCAAATTAAAGGAAAATAATGTTAATATTATCAGAAATCCTATTTAATGTAACTTTATTAATTTCTTGGAAGTGGTTTCTGTAGCTTGTCAAATCTTGCTTGTTCATTAATCATACTCCTCTTTTTCAGTATTAAATGGAATAAAGATGATCCCTCTGTTTTTAAGAAACAGAGTTGGTTTGTGTGGGGGATTTTTTTTTTTTGGGTATGGAATTTTTGATTTCTTTCAGAGAAGACCAGCTTCTGCTGACTGGTTTCAGATTATGCCTTCCACCAGTTTGTTGTAACCAGTCATTTATCTCCTGTTATCTCTATTGGCACTATATGTGGTTGTGGGCAGACTGTGGTACAGCACTGAGGCATC